ACCAGGTGTAATACGTTTACAGATATATTTCTACTTACACACACTTGGCCGGTGCCATCGATTCATCTCAGTCATCCCGAGGGCATTATCGCGAACCGACGCCCACTTCACATCCGGATTAGCTTGCGAAAAGAACCTCGGGATTAAATTCAACAAAGTTATACACATTTTTATTCTACTGCAATCTAGATTTCTGCATTATCACATCGACAATTTGCTTATAGAAATTAAAAAACTACAATCATACAGATAATCAGGCATACAATTTGTACTAAAAGATTTTATTTTAGCCTCAAACAAAAATGATTTTCAAAGTAATTAATTCAGCGTTCAATTACCAATAACGCTAACAAATTTTTAATTATTTTCGTTTCAAAAAGATTCAAATGTCACTCGAAGAAGACTTTGAACATTTTACACATTTATTTCGACTTTAAAAACAATATTGAAACTATTTTATTCGAGTATAAGTGAAATAAGCACACTTCATACAGTCAGATCTAGAATTGTCGTTAAGTATCAATTTTATTTAGAGAATAGTTAATTATTATGGTCTGAAAATATTTTTTAAACGATTATTTTAGAAAATATCTATACAGTTGGTGTGCTGCCGATGTACACTTGTCCGAATGCTACACCAGTGGCACGCGAAAATGTTTTAAAATCCATACCATTGCAGTAGTGTTAGTTTACAGTTTAGCTACCGGTTCTACGCGACCTTATCTTAATTGTATTATTTTAAATAAAATTACCGTTCATTTTTAATATCCACAATATTTTAATATTAATATTGCATATGATTTACATTTTTTTTGGACACGCAACATGTACTTAAGTTTGTTTATCAATAGATTTATTAAAAAAATATGTACAGCCTCTGTATTCAACTTCGCCTTGCTATGAACAAGGCGCAACTGTAACCGAATTCGTTTTATTTTGACAAATATACAAACAAAACTCTAGCAGAAAATTTAATAATACACAGAATGGTGATTCTTTAAAAACGCCTCAAACGATATCTACAAGAATACATAGTAAAATGAAAACTTTTTTTTTTTACCAAACCTTCATATTTTCCTATGTTCTATTATTATCGTGATATTTAGTTTTATCTCCTTAAAAATTGAATTATCTTGATTTTTTTTAATGATAACGTATAAATATATCCGTCACATATTTTGGAAAATTATTTAATTAACGATAACAACTTTAGACACGGTATTTATCACTATTTTGAAATGTATCCTGAGGGTGAAGCGCGAGTATTACTATTTTTATCATTAGGCATTTTTCAAACGCCCACCTCCCCCACACGGATGTAAATTATTCATTACTTCTGAAATAATGGTTTCAGTGATGCCATTTAAAAAACCCTCGTTAGTTTAATTCTAAGGGTAACACGAGGGGATAGCAAGAAATATTTTTATAAAAATTTAAGTGCATAGAAAAATATAAAACTTTGGCAGAAAGAAGTTTGATTTCGCTTAAAATGTGTTAAACATGTCGAGTGAAACGTTTTAAAATAATCGCCATGTAGATAGATATATGCAAATTTCAATTTTTCATATTAAAAACGGAGAGGAATGCCTCTCCGTTTTTGTCCGAATTGTCTTATTGCTCACGATTACAAATTTGTACCGCTACGGCAGAAATTGTTATCTGTAAATTTACGAGAGAATTTTTTAAAACGTACAAACAAAAGATTTCAGTGGATTTAATCTCTTTTTTTTTTTATACCTTAACACTACACGTATTATATTTACGGAACATTATTTTGGCAATGAACTTCAGACACTTTGAATAAACTAACATTGCAAAAACGTTTATGAATTTCTAAAAATCCGTCTTGATGTTTAAAAACCGTACCGACATATTACTTCTTACGTGTTAAGTAAACCTGATTCGTCGATAAGTGTCACGTGTAATTAACAATGTATTGTATTGCGAGTCGTTCTCAATAAACTACGGGTAGTTTCTGCGAATTACATAGTTTTTTATTTTTATTAACATAATTATTATAAACTCACAGGATGTGGAATATTATACAACGAGGAAAATGTACTGGTTCGTTGTATTCTACGCGTTAATGGTGGAACTCATGGATTCCACACTCTTAAATAATTTAAGGAAACTATGGTATATATAATTTTTTCAAACGATTACCCGTCCCATCCGAATACAATACGTATTCAACACGCGCAACCCTAAAAAACCCATCTCGTCAAACCTAATCTCGCACTTGAATTCCTATCGACAAACCAAAAATAACGGTAGGTGGCTGTCGTGTACACAAAAGAGAACACAGTGCCGCAATTGTTTTAATTATCGGCTACTACATACGACACCTGCTCGTCACATTCGCCGTCTGACGTCTCAACAAAAACCTACAATGTTGTGATCCCAGTAGGACCTATCAAAGAAAACAATTAGATCATAGACAATCACGAGTTCGGTAAGTATTTGTTAATTGTTCGTATAACGCCGACTCGTTCGATCTAGTACATGGCTCCGAGTAGGTATGTCAAAGAGCACAAGTGTCCAGTATTAACATAGTACGACCAACAATATCACAAAATTATTCCACTTTCATTTCGAAAATACAGGTGTATGTAATACGTTATATTATGTAATTTATTTTTATTAAATACCTGCATAATCTGAATAGTTTGGCGTGGGGTGCCGCCGTTGCAACAGTTTATTAGGCTTAATTTTTTTCAAATAAGAATTTCCCAACGTTTTACACAAACCGCCGGTTTGAGAATTTCCTCTGTATACGAAAATAATACATTAGAATCACACGGACACTATCGGGAATGAAAGGTAATTGAAAAATAATTATTTAGCGAAATAGGTTTAAATAATGTGCATCGGAGTAACCCCAACGTTTACATATTACTGTACGCGAGTATTTCACAAGCATAAAAAAAAGAGTTACAATACGTATTTTGCAGAATTATAAATACAAGATCTCATTAGTATAACATTTCCATTAGTAACTTTTTACCGCCGATAATATTACAGTTTAATGTAACGGTACAGTATTCCTCATAGTGCATCGCGTTAAAGATATTTATTGTTTTCCAACAAATTGCATTTGCATATGAAAACCTATACGCGTTGTTTTACGTGCACACCAACTGGAAAAGAGAAAATTGTAAAAAGGCCCAATCGAGGAAACGGCGCTATCGATTAGAATTGATTTTGTCATAACAGTCTGTCTCTGAATTATCGTTACATGCAGGCACACAGAAGTAGGAGTAAGCCGTCATAAGGTATACAGTCGGTTTAAAAAACCAATAGGCTTAGTGAAAGCGGTTTAAACTGCACCAGAAATCGAGCTCGTAGGTATATTATTAATACATTTCTACGCATTTCGAACAACATGTGCACTGGATATTAGACTAGAAAATGAAGACGCCACTACAACGATTTTCCTGTTGAGATCAGGTCGAAAACGTCAATTAAACGGAAGTCTGCCGATAATTTTAGATTATAATTATAAATTCAGACGTTCGCTCGGAACGTTTCGCCTGAAATTCACCATCGGATTACCCAACTTGGAGCCGATGAACAAATCTACCGAATTCCTGTGGGTTGGTCGACAGACGTATTTCGAAAAATGTGTCGGAAAACTACAGCCGTTCATTTTTCACGTACGCGATATACAAGTGTTATCCGTTTACCGCCGACCAATTAAAATTGTTCATCGTCTGTTGCCACGTCGGTTTTGCGAGAAAAAAAACATAACGGCCGTCTTACAGAGTCGGGTACGCCGTCGAAAGTACACTCGAAGACGTTGCCGGTGAGAATTGGCCGGAAATATCCGTTTTTAACGACGCGACGTGACCAAAGTGGACTCGTTGAGCGGTGAAAAAAAAAAAATCATCGACGAGGAAAAAAATACGAATAGGAGGCACTTCCGGCTCGGTCGACAAACGCATTGCGGCCCACGACGAGTACTGCTGTGTGTGATTTTGTTTATTGCTCACTCGTATCACGTATTTCCTCTGTACCTACTGAATAACCGCTGCCGCCATAATAACGCCGTGGCAGTCCATGTTGCATCCGTTGTATCTATATATAGATACGTATGTACTGCGTGTGCAAGTTTTACGACAAGGTCGTCACGAAAAACGGGGTCGAGGAACACTACAAGTTAGAAAACAACAGAAAAAATCCTACCGGCCGTTAACACAAACCCAACCGCGGCTACTTACCGGACAACTCCCAATTACACCACACACACGTGCTAGTATTGGTTTTCAAATGGACTAGATCACTTTTTCGTGTAGATCCGGTGTCGGTGTAACCGTTTATTATTACTATTGGGGTAACGTCGCTCGCGGTAGTCCAACACATTCGATTTTCGGTCAACAAAATTTCTATTTTGATAAAAAAACGCCACTGTCGCGTACCAACTGCGCGCGGTGCAAAACTGTACTGCGATTTTCAGTTTTTACAAAACGACAATCGCATTCGGTATTTTTCGTTAACGCAATCACATAACGTTTGGCGTAAATTTTGTACTTGAAAAACCATGTACACTTTAATCTCATTAAATTCGCTTATTGTTAATGTTTCTCGCAAATAATAACCGTTTTTATTAAAAATGGATTTGCATTCCATTAGTGTGTTTCTTCGTGAATTACTTTTACACGATACCGGCGAAGAACACTCCATAGCAATTGTCAATATTTGGAAACAGTCGTTAGGTGTGAATAAACACATTAAGCCATTCCGAATTTAAACCGAACGCATTATTTTATTCGCATCCAGCGCTCGTCAACATCCGGTGAACGCAGTGACGTTCAACAAAATGAACTTTCGATCAAGTGCTTGGTTACTACATTTAATCTATCGGTATTTGAAATGTTAAGGGTTCGAGAAGAGAAAATCATAACAACCGTTTCAATTTTTTGTACATTTTAATAAATATATACTAATTTGGTTTGATAGATACATTAAAGCAAAAAGAGTTTATTAAGCCTAAAAATTAAGACTTGTTTTTAATAATATATTTAATAAAAATACATTATATTCATTTTTGTACCAGCGTAACATACATAATTAATAATAATATTATTACATAACATAGAGAAAAGACGGAAACAAATTAAGAAAAATAAAACACATTTATAATAATAATAATAATAATAATAATAATGGTAAGGTTTGGTTTAAAAGCGAGAAGAGAAAGAACAACACTTCTTCGACGAAACCCGCAGTAGTAGAACTGTTGGTTTAAACCGTCCTTTTATTTTCATCGTTTTGTTCACACAGTCGCGCAGTTTTTCATCGTGTACAACATAATTATTATTATTTTTCGGTAACAGTTATATTTTTTCTCAGGTCAATAATAGTATAATTTCAGTCAGAACGTCGTCTAGTTTTAACTTTTCGCACACAGTTCTTTTGCAACGAAAATCCGTTTTATCTTTACGACCAACGTGTGCAGTTCAAATATAAAAAACTTGTCTGGCATAAACGATAATTTCGACTTTGAGATTGGATCTTTTGAGTTTTGCTGGATTATCGACAGATGCGCGGGGCACGACTTTCTCGGTGATATTTTTCGTAATACAAATTTGGAAATTATTTCGGATTTGCAAAATTACAACGGCTCTATTGTATGGGTACCACACACGATAAGCGGCGACTGATCGGTTGGCAGCGGGAGGCGGGTGTAGAGTACAAATGGGTATCATCTGCACCTACAAATTATCATTACTTTTTTTTTTTTTTGGGGGGGGGGATCGACGCCTAAGCGACAACGTGCGATTTCGAGGAGGTCGGCTGACGTTTGCATTGACAGCCACGTCGCGATATCCGAGCGTAGCATTTCTCCATTAGCTGAACACATCCGGTCAACGGCCAATAGCACACCAGGCATGGCAACAGCAAGGATGTCAAGCTGAGTATGGACCACCGGCGCGTCCTGTCTTCGGGATGACAGGAGCACGGGTCGTCCAACCACAAGTCCGATCCGAGGTCGTCGTCACGAGATTTGCAGTGGTACACCACGCCTTTGACGCAGCACATACACGAGCAGTACTCGACGCAAGTGCTGGGCGACAAGTAACAAAAGTTATTGCACAGCCACCATCCCGGTAGTCTGCGTGGGGTCCGACACGCTACGCACCGACATTTATTACAATCTTGACAAATGATGGAACAGTCGCCGGCGGTTTTCTTCGCGGGTTTCGCCGAAGATGAGCCCACCGCCGGCTGGGCGGTTATCACTTCCGCCGTCTCTTTGTCCACCTGGATGCAACAGCTGCTGCCGATTTTCACAGCGTCCGAAGTGGCTTTGTGGCCCACTGTCGAGGTTGTCGGCGTAGATGTGGCCGTCGATGTGTTTGAACCGCCGCTGCCGTTGGAAGACCCTAAGAACGGAGTCTCCACATATTCGTTTGTGGCCCTTTGGCTTTGAGGCCTGGGCGCGTCCAAGGACACGACGGCATTTCGATTGGTCGCGTGTCTCTGCTGTTGCTGTCCATCGTTCTGTTGCTGTTGCCCGTCGGCGGTCAGTAACGACGAAGTCGCTGCATGTTGTTGCTGCTGTTGGCGTCTACCGCCCGACGTGGCCGCGGATGACCGTGTAAAGTGTACGCGGGCAAAATTTTCTGAACAGTAAGATCGTTCTTTCCGACTCTTCTCGTCATTTTGTGGCTGTGCCATGTAGTTCGGGAACCGAGCTAGTTAGGCGCCACCGTTTCTTAGTTTGTAGTAGTTACAACCAGTACCTGAAAGCAAAAAAATAATAAAAACATATAAATTATTGTACGACAGTACTTTTTTATTCAAACAAAAAACACTAATAGTCAATAGAATGAAAAAATTACTGACACAACACGAGAGCTACGCAATATTAACCAACCGTCGTTATCGATTATTCGGATCAGCATTATTATTAATTACACAATGGATAAAAAAAAAAAAAAAAAAAAAAAAAAAA